TCTCTGCTACTGTGTGTATGAAATATACATGTTAATAAACCTGTTTATTTTTCCTTTGCTAATCTGTGTTTTGTTACAGGGGCCCCAGCTGAGAACCAAGATGTACAGCGGGAAAGTTCTCGACCACCACCACCACCACCCGCCCTCCACCTGGGAAAAAGAAGGAAGATTGAATTAAAATCAAACGAGCAAATTTAGATGGAAAAGGTTTATTGTCCTATGGTACAATTATATTATTACCTTTACGTTATCTTTTCTACTGGAAAGAGATAATAGTCACCTCTAATAGACAAAAATCATTGAAATTTTCAATATCCTATAAATTAGCATCTAAATTCATAGACACTTCACAGATATTAGACCCTAATAAATAGTTAAACAGAAATGCCTTCCCGTAGAATAACTAGAAAACACTTGGGCAGGCTTTTTAGACTATGTTCTCATATGACAACAAAACGAAATTCAGTCGGTTCCTTTACCTTAATTTGACATTTATATATATCTTAACAGATTTCAGAGCTGTTCTGTAGTGACCAGGGTCTTTCCTTTATCCTCAGTGAGCCCATGCCTTATAAAGAATATGCCTTCCTGTCTGCAATTTCCACCTTCCTGTATGCTGCTTACCAATGATGATTTGCCATGACGTTGAGTGACAAGTGTTCAATTTCCCGGGCCTAAAGGAAAAGAACCAGCACCTCTCCTAAATCCCCCTTTATTTCCAATCAAGTCACAATTACATGATATCTCACTTACATTTTTTTTCAAAAAGGCAAAATCATGATTCAGCAAATAAAAATGAGTATGTGTCAAAGAGCTTCACTTTTCAATAAATGAACCAACAGGTAAAATGCCATGGTAGGTTCAAAGAACATTTAAGAAATTAGGATATTTACAGAAAATGTAACAAAGAAATGTTAGAACAGGATTGTTAGATTAGTTTAAAATAAAATTATTTTATTATCCAATAGTTCATAAATCTTCCACTGGATAGAAATTATTTGCCTCTCTGCCAGTTAAGTAACTTCACTAATTTTGGTACCTACAGTCAATAGTAAATAGTTAGATGGTCTGAGTACATTTTTATAGAATCCTTGTGTGGCCTATAACCTTGTATATTGGACATCATGGTTCCTCCTTTTTTCCTTACTTCCAAGTCTCAGACAATTTTTCTCACACTGAGGCAGGAGATAGATGAGCCCCAGGCTGAGCAGCTGGAGTTTGTCGCCTGTGGCCAGATGCTCCAAGACAAAGATAATAGCTGGAGCAGAGAGGAGCTGAGTCCTGCCCAGATAAAAGATAAAGAGACCACATATACCTCATTCTCAAGGTCAAGGAAACCTTCCAGACTACACATGCGCAGAAACACTCCTTGGAGGTCAAATAAGGAGGGGTCACCACCCCATAGTAAGTGATGTCAACCTACCCATAAGCCTCTTCGCTAGAATCCATCTTGGCTAAGAGATGCAGGAGCACACGTGGCAGGACCCTGAGATAATCCAAATACGACTTAGAACCAAGAAAAGCAAGATGATTGGTCAAAAGAAACCTGGAAGAGATGCCCCGTATAAGTGATTTAAACTACTGCAAGCACTCAACATTCTGAGTTCACCCAGGTGTACCTATTGAGAAATGGAATATTTCCTGCCATATCAGTAAACAAAGGATGTCACAGCAGAGCTTGCAGCCCTCCAATGTGAGCTGGTGAGCCCTGAGGGAACTTAGGAAGGAAAGAATACCTGCCACCTAGCAGCCATCAGACTGCAGCCACTCTATACAGTGAGCCCTGAGGAAACTCAGGATGTGAAAATACAGGATACTGGCCCCAGACAGCTGAGGTGAATATCAAAGGAATGAGTTCGGTGAGCCCAGACTCTTGCATCTTCCCATACATAGAAAAGAGCTAAATTCCTTAATTTGAGATATCTAGTTTCCTTTAATTAACAATAATCTTTTGATATTCCTGACTACCTGCCCTTTGTTGCAAAATGTCTATAAAACCTGGCTCTCCCCTAGCCTCCTGGGAGCAGTTCTCTCAGGATTACTTGAGATGCTGCCTCCCAGGCTTTTAAGTCCTAAAAATCTCCACCGAATAAAACATAACTCTCAATTTTTAGGTTGTGAATAATTTTTTAAGTCCACACTATTCACAAGTACTCTTTTTCCTCCTCATAAACACTTTAGTTGTTTCACTACTTTCCGTCTCTTTGTGGGAATTCATTTCTGAAAAACCAGGGGGCCAGGGGCCTTGTCACTGGCCACTGTCCCTGGTGGTCTGGTGGCTAGGATCCAGCACTCTCACTACCGTGGCCTGACTTCAGTCTCTAGCCCGGGAACTGAAATCCTGCAGGCTGAGGCCACCCAAGATCAACACAGTGAATCGTTAC